AATTGGGCTTTGAGTCGGGTTGGTGTAACATGTTTAACGGATCTAAGGCAACTTTTGGAGATTGAGTGAATGCTCGAGTTGAGTTGGTCAAACATGTGTAACGGATTTGAGACAACTGTTGGGGATGGAGAAGGTTGAGACAATTGTTGGGGATGCAGTGTGTGTTTGAGTTGGATTGGTTTAACAACGCAACGGATTTGAGGCAATTGTCGGGGATGGAGTGATTGTCAAAGTTGGGTTGCTGTAACATATATAATAGATGTGAAGGAACTGTTAAAGATGGAGTGAATGTTCAAGTTGGGTTGCTTTAACGTGGGGATTTACGAAAGCGATCTGTGGTAGTTACTTTATGAACTTATGTCATATAATACTAAGTTCACAGATTTCAGTTTTAGTGTGGAAAATCCATCGCCGCTTTCGAGATAGGAAAACACAACATTAGCATGGATTGCAAACGATCTGACCCAAAGATAGGCAAAGAACCCACCGTCAATGATCACGCCTCTCAATCACAGACAGGATCAAGAAATAATACTAAGATGAGAGAGAGTAAGTGGTAGTGTTTGTTCGTGCTGTAGATAGAACTTAATGCAGGGAATACTGAATTCGATATTATAGCTGTGCAGATTAAATGAAATCATAGCAAGATCAGTCATTTTTTTACAATATAATCATTAATTACTCTATCGCCAGGTGTAAGTCAGGCTAAACAATATACAAAATACCGATGGAATGGTAACCAATACACACACACACTCACACACACACACACACACACACACACATATATATATATATATATATATATATATATATATATATATATATATATATATATATATATATATATATGTATATATATATATATATATATATATATATATATATATACATATATATATGTGTGTGTATGTATGTATGTATGTATGTATGTATGTATGTATGTATGTATGTATGTATGTATGTATGTATGTATGTATGTATGTATGTATGTATGTATGTATGTATGTATGTATGTATGTATGTATGTATGTATGTATTTATGTATGTATTTATGTATGTATGTATTTATTTATTTATTTATTTATTTATTTATTAATTTTTTTTATTTATAACGGTTATGTTTATTCATGCTGGGGTTATTGTTAGTATAGATTTTTTTTTAAAAAAAATTGCAACGAGTTAAAAATTGGGCGTGATTATTTCGTCTCTGGAGATACGTCTGTTTGTACATACCCTTAAGATACAAATACACGATTTCTTTTGAGAAACTACGAAAATAATTGATGTAATATATAAAATATTGTATTATTTGCAACTCAGAATGAATACTGTCTTGTCTTAGTAACTAAACTGTAAATCTTCAAGCTATCTAATGTTTCAGGATCGTAGAATATACATTTGCTTTTTCCTGTTCTTAAAATAAAATACGAATTTCTCGCGCAGCAAAATTTCAGATATTATAATTTGTGGACATTAGAGAATTTGGGGAGTGACAGTTTAGGATTGTATTTGATTCTTTGGTCGTCATTGTAAATAGATATCTATCTGTCTGGACTGTAGTGGGGATTTTTTTTAGATTGCATTCACCAGATCACGGACATGCCTGGCTATAACAGCACTTACCCACCTTTCTACTCAAATGAACGACTGACTGCAACAAATTCTCCAAAGATATCCTTTTTATAATACATAGAGAACATAAAAGTGATTAACACCCATTGCAAAACTTATGAATAATGAAACCTCAGTTCTGTTGTATACTACATCAAAAGTTACGATCATTGTAATAAAAAGGGGGAGGCATATCACATAATAGATCCAATTGCCAATGTAAGGAAAATTGCTGCTTACTGAACTAAATCTTTTTACAATCTTATGACAAGAATGTAAATCCTGCCTCTGGCGTTTCGTTGGCCCCGTCTACAGTTTCCTGTGGTCATCCCCAGAGGAGTACAAAACGCTCAAAATGTGTCTGGGTTTCCCCTTTGGCGCCTTGGTAGCTTATGGTGAGTACACATGAGATTGGACAGCGCATGCGTTCTGCCATCTTTTGTCATAGTTGGCTAAGCCAATTTTCCTAACGAAGCAAGACATTTTAGGGGAAATTTCGCTACTATTATGCTATCAAGTGTGGAATAAGGTTACGAGGGTTAAGGTTATGGTTATGGTTGGGTCGGGCTTGGGGTTTAGTACTACCACAATCTGGAAAGGTAGGCCTAAAGGTGGGTGCACATAATACAGTGCCGTCTTAACAACATTGTAGGCTCTGGGCAAAGCAGTGCTCTGTGGCCTCCTTCCTACCGGCTCTACTATTCATTAAGAATATGGGCAGATTGATGCCCCTAGAAGTGTGATGCCCTGGGCAACTGCCCAGTGTGTCCATGCCTTAAGACAGCACTGACATAAGGGTCAAAAGCTATTGCTTCATTAGCATATTGGTTAATCAGGACCTGATTGCTACTCACAGAAACCACACTTTTTAACAAGAAATGCATTTTGGAGTAAATATCTGAACATCGAATTTGTTTTTGGAATGCGATACTAAACAAAAATCAGTGATACATCATGAATTTGCATTTTCTACATGCGTCTAGTAGAATAGCCTGAAATGTGTCTCGAAATGTACATTTGTTCCAATTGCATAGCAGTTTTACTGTCACATTTTGTTAACTTTGTTCAAGAATTGTTGATTAAAACAAGACTTAGATCAAATTCACGGTTAAGAAAGAAATAGTTTGAGAGCAAAACACAATATTTAGAACTGGCTAAATATATCGATATCAATGCCTTGTTCAGTGCCATTTTTTAGCTAGAGATGGAAGCCTATAAAGTAACTATGAGCAGGGAACTGGGTTAAGTTAGACGGTGAATTACTATATTTCACGATTATATAATCAGGTATCGATATGATGAAAATAAAACTTGCATTGCTCCGTTGTAAACAAAGGATAAGCACAAAGCAGAAATTTAAAAGAAAAGAATTCGTTTAAAATTATAAGTAATATTTATGATTCTATTTATTTTATATATCAGTTCTGTATTTGATAATAATACAACCTATCCATCTGGGGAAAGAGACACGGGAGCTTATAGGAGGAGTTATGGGCCTTGTTCTAGCAGCTGGTTACGCCATATCGGTGCAGGCGCGCTGTATTGTCTTCCTCGTTATACCCACCTTTTTCAGCAAGACAGGAAGATCATACATAGGAACATTTGCAATAGCTTATTTGCTGTCAGGTATTGTAATGTACATGTGTGTTCATTTTGTATTCACTAAATCATTTGATTCATTTTTAAGGAATACTGACAAAAATAGATATAAAATACCTGTTGAATGTATATAACACAATACGACACAAATATAGGTTTTTATTTGTTGTCATACATTACTTTGTTGCATACGAAGATGATTCTAGCAGCGTCATAAACAAATCGTTAGGTCCAGGCATGCTTTGATGAGCTATAATATAATTTAAAATTCAATTAGAGAGAGAATGAATACTTTTTTGAACATTATGTGTAGATTTGTTTTAAAATCCGTTTTATCCAGTAAAATTTACTGCAGCTGAATTTACGCAAATATGCTTTAAATTTAATTTAAATTTAGAGTGTCCAAATTACTGACTAGATTCTATCAATGGACAAATGCTTTTTTACTGTTTTGTATGACGTTGTTATCTTGTAGAAGTTCATTTCAATTAAAATTGACGGATTGTATATAGTATACAGTCAAAAGTTGTGATCAAAAGCATTTTATACAGTATACAGTCAGAAATTGTAGTCGAAAGCATTTTATACAGTATACAGTCAGAAATTGTAGTCGAAAGCATTTTATACTGTATACAGTCAGAAATTGTAGTCGAAAGCATTTTATACTGTATACAGTCAGAAATTGTAGTCGAAAGCATTTTATACTGTATACAGTCAGAAATTGCAGTCGAAAGCATTTTATACAGTATACAGTCAGAAATTGAAGTCGAAAGCATTTTATACAGTATACAGTCAGAAATTGAAGTCGAAAGCATTTTATACTGTATACAGTCAGAAATTGTAGTCGAAAGCATTTTATACTGTATACAGTCAGAAATTGTAGTCGAAAGCATTTTATACTGTATACAGTCAGAAATTGTAGTCGAAAGCATTTTATACTGTATACAGTCAGAAATTGTAGTCGAAAGCATTTTATACTGTATACAGTCAGAAATTGTAGTCGAAAGCATTTTATACTGTATACAGTCAGAAATTGTAGTCGAAAGCATTTTATACTGTATACAGTCAGAAATTGTAGTCGAAAGCATTTTATGCTGTATACAGTCAGAAATTGTAGTCGAAAGCATTTTATGCTGTATACAGTGAAAGGTTGTGGGCAAAAACATTGAATTTAGCATAAAGTTAAAACATTCTTGATTTTTATTTTCCTTTTAAAATTTCTAAACGGAAAAAGACGAAAGAAATAAAATATGCATCTGCATTTTATATTTTTAAAAACCGGAAATTATTATAAAGAGCTTACCCAGCATGATTCTACTGCTCATATATATTTTAAAGCATATTGCAAGCAATCTAAACATCATAGATCATGAGAGAGAGAGAGAGAAAGAGAGAGAGAGAGATTATTGAAAAAAGTTGCTCTTTTTTATATGGCATAGATATTTGACCCTAAATCACACATCTTCATCAAATCATTGTTTTATAGATATTTTATAGAAAAATGAGACAAACAAAAATCAATTAGAACAATCAAAAGTTGTGGCCGAAATCATTTTATACTGTATACAGTCAAAGGTAGAGGGCAAAAGAATTGTATACGCTATACAGTCATAACATTTTGATTTTGTTCCTTTTAAGATTTCTAAACGAAAAAAGAAGGGACGAAAATATGCATCTGTATCTTATATTATGTCAAAACCGCGAATTATTATAAAGAGCTTTCCTAGCATGATTCTACTGCTCATATATTTTTAAAGCATATTGCAATCAATCCGAACATCATAAACCACTCCGGTGGCCTAGTGGTAAAAGCGTCCGCTTCGGATGCGGGAGGTCGTTGGCTCGATTCCCTGTCGAGTCATACCAAAGACTTACTAAAATGGTGTTAACAGCTTCCTCGCTTGGCGCTCAGCATTAAGAGGATAGTGTTAGGACTGGTCGGCCTGGTGTCAGGATAATGTGACTGGGTGGGACATCATGCTACATGTCTGCGGCATGATGCCCGAGTGCTAGAGATCACTATAAACTGCCACATTGCAGACATCGTAGCGATATGACAGAAAAAGTTTTAAAGCGACGTTAAAATTGTTAAAGCTACGTACATCACATCACATTAGAACATTATAAATCATATGGAGAGAGAGAGAGAGATTTTATTATTTTATAGATATTTGACAGAGAAATAAGAGAATCGAAAACAAAATAGAACACAATGAAATATTAATGGTAGAGAACAATGGATTACGTTCATAATCCATTAAATCTTTTCAGAAATTGTCAATATTTGGGTTACCTTTTCCTCCTTCGATCTATCGAAAATATTAGTCACTTAAATTTCTAAAAATGTTCAACACTTTTAACAACGTCATTGTACTGAACATTCAAAAATAAAGCTTAAATAGAAACTTACATATTTGTCTCTAATAACATTACATAATTTTACACCTTGAACAGGTCCAATTCAAAACATAATAGAAAATGCACAGGACGTAACAAGATCTCTTACATGTGCGGCAGAACTTGCAGCGAATCAAACAAGGACGAGGTTAGAATTTCGATTGGCTCCCGTTGCTATGGTTTTACAAGAAATGCAGGTATGTTTCAACTGACTATTACTCATTAGATGTATGAATCAGTTCCGTTCGAATAGTTTATATAAAACTAATTTCGGGTGAACATTTCATTAACTTTTCACGAATGACACGTTCCTACAAACTGTAAGTCTGTTTCGATGGACGTGTCTTTGTTTATTTGAAGCTAGTATTCTCTAAAAACGAAAGTGGGTACAAAGAAAGTGGAAACTAATCAGTACTGGAAATTTAGTTCAGAGCTATGAAAGCAAGAATAATATGTTCAATTAGTTAACATATGTATACCTAACACAGTAAAAGAAATATTTTGTTCAGACGATAAGAAAACCCCACTTCAGGTGAAATTAATTAGCAATGATCAATTGGTTTTTGAAATCCTTAAACGATAATAGATCTGAATCAATTAGGTTTTCTCAACTAAGGTAAAACTTCAGAAACAAAATTTAAGTAAATTTAAAGTATAAATAAGGACCTTCTATACTTTAGTGAATCAAAATAATAACCCCACTGTTATAAGAGAACTAAAAAAAAGACAAACAGATTTAGTAGAAATGATGGAAAAGGAGGTGGAACGTGTAATGTTAAGAAAAGCCAAATGATATGAGTCTGGTGCGAAAATATCCAAATATTTCCTTAACCTTGAAAAGAAAAAGTACACAAAAAAACAATGAAAGACTTTATTATGGAAGATAGAACAAGGGTAACAGGTCAAACAGATATAATAAATCACTTGAAAGATTTTTATGAAAAACTATACAAAAGCCAAAACAACAATACTTTTCAAACTCTTAATCGCTTTTTAAATCACGATAGAAGACTTTCAGATTTTGAAAGATGCTCGTATGAAGGTAAGCTAACCTTTTGAGGAATGTTGTTTAGCACTGAAAAATATGAAAATGAAACTAGCCCTGGTTCAGATGGATTTACAGTTGAATTTTACAAATTCTTTTATAAAGATCTAGGTGGTGTTCTCTTTAGATCTCTAAATTATATATATGATATGCAACATTTTTTTAAATTTCAGTCTCAGAAAATTATTACTTGCATTCCAAAAGAAGATAAAGCCAGAAAAATCATTAAATATTGAAGACTAATTTCACTACTCAATGTATTGTTACAAGCCAGGGGTCTTTGTTTGAACGAGCGGTGTCAAAACCCTGGCGCGATTCCCGCTAGAAGTCATAAGTTTACCCCACTTTTCCAAAGACTTCTTTACAACTTCAGTTGTAAGTTAGATAGCCCGACGTGTGCATTGTATGCATAAATTTTACTCGAATCAATGCAGGACAATATGAGTCACAAATTGCCATATATCTACCAACCGCAGATATACATAGTTTCTCTTCATCAACTTTCCGTACCGTCAGCAGTCCACATCGTAAAAACTCGACAGCTATCCCCTACCACAGGAAATTATTTTAACAACACCATCTTAGGCCAGTTAATCTATGGCTTGAAGGACCATCACGCCAATACAACTGCCTCACATTTGCCACCATGGCGACATACATAAACGTTATCAGCCGAATCCCTTCTTGTTTATTCCATTGTGTAATTTTCTACTGTAAATACTGACACTGCAGTCACAACACCAATGTACACCACTGGATTTTAACAAGAACTACATTATTCCATGGACATTCATGCGGTTTGAATCTGAATTCGCTACTCATTGACCATGGTATCATGGAAACTCACTAACACTTTCTCTCCGTGACGTTTGTTCTTAATAACTAGCTAATTATCTCGGGCTAAAGAATATTTCCCATTGCACCAAATTCCAATAATCAAACAAGTAATCAGACAAACCTAATAAGTGCTTAAACGGGACGCTATAACCAAATGCGCATCTCCTACATTATATTACAGTATTACAAGATTGCTTCGGTACCAGTTGCTTCTATAAGTTCTCCTTTTTAGCATTATTGACACTCATTTTATGAAAGGGAGATTCATCAGTGAAGACACAAGAATTTTATATGATCTTATGGAGTATCTTGAGGAAAAATTAATCTGGTCTTGTCGTACTGATAGACATCGAAAAAGCGTTTGACTCGGTCGAATAGGATTTTCTTGAGACTGCCCTGAAATATTTTAACTTTGGAGAATCTTTATGTCAGTGGTTTAAAGTATTCTGCAATAAGTCTAAAAGTTATGTCATTAATAATGGACATTTATCCCCATTATTCAAATTGAAGGGAGGTTGTCGCCAGAGAGACCTTTTAGCACCCTACTTATTTATAATAGGAATTGAACTTTGTGCAGTAGAACTAAAAAGGAACAAGATATTACAGGCATTTTCTATACTGAAATGTAGTTCCATTTAGTTTAGGGAAGTACGCTGATGATACTTTTTATCATTAGGCCGCCCTTCGTTGTCTTTGAAGACAACCATGCAGATTTTAAATGAATTTGCCTCAGTATCAGATCTGAATTGAAATGGTTTTAAATCAAAAGCTATTTGGATTAGAAATTAAAAAATTCAAATGAAACTCCTGAAATTTATATTAACTGGTTTGTTGCAAATTTTAGATTACTTGTAATAGATTTCTCTTAGAATTTGGAGGAGATGGTTGACGAAGTTGAAGAAGTAAAGAAATTGCTCAGTTTGAAGGAGCAGAAGGAATTCGTCCCTTATTGTAAAAATTACTTTGATAAAATTCTTGATTTCGCCAAAGTTTATTCATCTTTTGGCTGCTCTACCAAGCCCATTCTGAAAATGAAGTGAATACGTTGTTTTTCAGGTTTTTTGGAGTGGAAAAACGAGAGGGTAAAAAGAGATACTTTTATAGATCCCTTTATAGAAGGGGGATTAAATATGCTTCACATGCACTCATTTATGTAGTGCCTGATACTAAATGAAGATGGTTTAACGTAAAAAAAGCAACTTTTTTCCATATAACTATGTAGAAAATATGGAGGTATACAAATTTTACAATTAAAAAAATTAAATTGAAAGTAATCTCTAAAACAACTTCAACTATATTTTGGAGCGATGTCATTTATGCCTTATCTCAAATGAAAAATAAACCATCAAATACTCAGGAATACTTGTAACAAGATATTTTTAATTTAGTAAGTACCGACAATTTTAAATCATATACAAGGTGGAAACCAAACGGTGTTGTACTTATTAAACACATTTTTGATCCACAAGGATCTATATTAAATTTTTATGACATAAAACAAACAACACAAACTTATAATTGTATGCAGTACTTTGCTCCTATCTCAAAATTATTAGTAAAGTGGAAAAAGAAAATTAAAATCATTTTAGAAAGCGGAAATACTTTCCATGTAATACTCGACAAAACTTCTTTTCTGAAGGTGAGAGCAAAGAATACATTTATATATAAAGATTAATAAAATCCAAGATACAAAGGCCAAATGGTAATATGAAACGTGATCCAGACAACTAAGGTGAGCAATTGTTGTAAATAAATGGCCGAATTCTTTTGTTCTGGCTAAAACTTTGTACAAAAAGATAAAACACTGATTAGTTTTTATTTTAGATTTTTAGATAGAACTGTTGTCACAAATCAGGTTTTCAAAAGGATTAATTTAAGTAATAACGATAAATGCATTTTCTGTAAGGATGGAACAGATCAAATTGAGCCCTTGCTCTATGACTATTCAGTTACTGAACATTTTCAGAAATCATTTGTTGATTGGATCCAAACATACAACCAAAATATTAAAATTACAAGAAGTGATGTATTTATAGGAAAAATGTTTTTATGATCTTGTTAACTTTCTAATCTTGCTTGCAAAATATGTTATATTCAAATCACGTTGTACATCAAAAATCCCAAATCTCCCCTATTATAAAAAATTGTTTTATGATAGAAAAAGCTGGAAAAATATGTTGACAAAGTGAATAATGGAACTGATGAGTTAAGTAAAGGTGGACCCTTTTGTCAACTTTCGATTTCAGTTAATTTTTTTTTTTAATTTCGCATCAATGAAACAAATAGATAATGAAAAACACATTATGGTTGTAAATGACTGCTTTTTGTACAATAATATGAGAGTGTATCTGTGAATGTGTGTGTGTGGGTGTTGTATCTAAGTGAATGAAGATGAACACGTATATTCATGTGTGTGTGTGTGTGTGTGTGTGCGTGTTGTATCTAAGTGAATGAACATGAACAGGTATATTAACTTTTACGGTAAAATAAATTTTCATTTTAAATTGTTGCAAAATAATAACCAAACAAACATTTAGTAACCAGATCTTATCTTGCACAAATCAGTATTTTTTTTACAGAAG